TGGGTGCACCACGGTGTGGTGGACGGGGGAGGGTGGTGAAGAGGGACCATAGGGGGGGGGGCAGGCTTAGGAGCCACCTCGAGGGTGATGGATCGTGGAGGATGTTGGGGTTGTCAGGTCTCACGCATCGAACGCGCGCGTGTGTGTGCATACGCAGATGTGCGCGTGTGTGAAGGCAAAGGACACACTCAAATGCCACGTGAGATCCCAGATGATGTGTACGTTTCAAGTGGGAAGCCGCGCCCCGTTTGGCGCGCGCCCTGCAGTGCACCAGGTGCAAGGGCGTGTGGCTGCACGCCTGTCGTACTGGGTGGCCGCGCTCACCCCCATTTCATGGCGCAGAGCTGGTAGGGGAACGCAAAAGTGTTGACGAGCCCCCAGGTCGCGGTGCTGTGGCGATACGGGTGGAGAGGTGCACAGCCAGGGGCGGATGTTGTTGTGTGGAGGAGAAAAGGCAGTTGTTTTTGAGGCGGGGGAGGTGAGGGGTTCTGTGATTCTTTCGTGCGCGGGGAGGGGAAACGGCGGCGCAGGGTGGCGGCAACGCAGGCAATAGCAGGCTACGAAGAGCACCGCAGGAGCCCCTGAGGAGTGTTGAGATCGCATCAGGCGGCTTATGACCGGTCACAGGGCCGCGGCCGCGGCCGCTCCTGAGGCGCACAAGCCAAGATCGGCCACAACACAAAAGAGAGAGCGGGAGCTCTGGGGGCGCACCCAAACGTAATGATCACCCTGTGGAGATCAAGGAAGATGGAGGGGCAGGCGGGCGTGGGTGTGTGAGGGGAGGGGTGCATGGACGGCTTTGCAACGGCGGCTCCCAGGCCATGAGCACGGGCCGGCAGGCCAGCGATGGGGGTGCCATGAGCGACACCCTTGTGGGGCCGATCAAAGCGCGAGGGGCCAGGGTGGCGGCACCAAGCGAGGCCGGGAGTGTGAGTAGTGCGGGCTGGATGGGCTGTGACGCAGGGCACGCCTCACCAGGCCACCGGCCGGATTTCCAAAGGCGGCACCTCCCCTGCGCGAGGGGCGTGTCGGCAGCGGGCTTCAGCGCGGCACGCGGTTGTTTCACGAGACCAGCAGCCAGCCGCTTCGCCGCAACGGGCCCGGGAAGACCTTCCACCGAATATGCATGTTTCTTTAAGCAGCCAATACGACGGGGCCCGCAGCGCGACCCAGGGGGAGGGGGAAGCGTCCCGGGGAGCGGAGCCTGCTGGGCGTGTGAGGCGTGCTCATGCTCACGTGTGCGCCGCATTTGCATTGGTGAACACGTGCATGCAGGCTTGTGTGTGTGTGTGTGTGTGTGTGTGTGTGTGTGTGTGTGTTGACTTCCAAGGTGTCCCCACCCCCTTACCCATGATGGCGGTGACCGTCGTGTTCTGCCCCGCCATGAACGCCAGCTCATCTGGTGTCCGCGGATGAAGTGTGCGGCAGCAGAAGTGAGCGGGGCGAGGGCAGGGGGCGTCGTTCGCTGTATATGGATCGCTGCTGCCCAGCTACCCTGGGGTGTGAACCCATGGCCGTCGCCCAGTCGCGTTCGAGCCACGGGGGCGAGCCCCGCGCAGCGACCCAAAAGCGACAGGAGCGGCGCGGTGACGTCACACAGGGCGCCGCCACTCACAGATGATGATCATGCCCAGGATGCCCTTGCCGGCTGCGATGGGCGGGGCGGGGGCAGCGGGGCGTCGAGTCTGGTGAGACCAAACCCGATCACGTCGAAGCGGCGAGATCAAACCAACAAAAGCAACCATTTAACCAACCAACTGACCACCCAACCAACCAAGCAAACAAGCAAGCAAGCAAGCAAGCATCCCACCAGCCCACCAGCCTCCCAACCAGATAGGCAAGCAAGCAAGCAAGAAAGTCACCGAACAAACAGGCAAGCAGCGCACCGCCGGCGGGCACCACCGCGTCTGGTGCGTCGACCAGGTAGACCGCGAACAGCGCGGCGGCCACGGCCTGGGCTGAGGCCTGCAGCGCCGCTGACCAGAACAGCAGGGTGCGGCGCTTGAAGCGGTCCAGGAGGCACAGGCCTGCGGGAAAAAGGGGCACGAGGGGAGGTTGGTGGTGGTCAACAAACAACTCAGGTACTCGTGAGGGATACGGCAAATGAGTTGATTGATTGGGCGGCTTTTCTCGAGAAGGCTTCTGAGCACGAAGAATACCATGATCCATGGTTGGCAAGCAAGGCCCGCTGGGCCTGCCCCGCGAGACCGGCGAGCTGATGCAGACCGCGCGATGTCCGTTCGCTGCGGACTGGCGAGCAAAGCGGCTTGCACGCCCCAGGTAAGGCGCCAGCATGCAAGGGACAACAGCCGGGCGCGGGCGAGGGGGAAGGGGGGGGGGCGTAGTGGGGGTCAGAGGGATGCACTCGCCTATGATGACGCCGATGGCCTTTGTGACGCCAACCGCTACAGAATTGATGAGGGCGGTGTTGGTGCCTCCGCCCAGGAGGTGGAAGATCTGAGGGGAGTCTGCAGGGCAGGGGAAGACCGGGGGACAGATGAGGCGTGCAGCGGGAAGCCGGCCAGGTGCAATATCAGATGAGATTAGATCAGAACACACAAGGTCGGGACGAGGCGAGGCCGGGGTGCGAGCCTGCAGCTGCTGCGCTGCTGCATGCTCCGCAAGGAAGCTGCCAGAATTCCACTTGTGAGTTGCCCCACTTGCTCCAAATGCTCTGACAAGCACGTTACGTGCGGTTCAGCGCATGGCGTATTGCCGAAAGGTGCGGGGATTGCGGCGCCTGGGATATGCTGTGCTGAGCGGGTCGCTGCACAGCGCTGCGTGGCGGGGCTCACAGAATGTTGCGGCCGCGTTGCCGGACCACCAATTGAACGTGACCCCCATGAACGCCACGATCACGCTCGGCCAGTACTTGCGCTCGGACGCCAGCAGGCGCCACGCGGCGCGCGTGTTGACAACGCCTGGGCGGGGGTGAGGGGTGGGTTGGGGGTGAAGGGCGTGTCGGTCTTATGAGGAGAGGATGGGATGGGTCGGGGCAAGTTTCGGAGGTATTGAGTTTGTTTCTTGCATGTGCCCTCCACACCTTACAAGACACGCGTCTGCGAACCACAATGTCCGCATCATGTCACACGCGGGTGCTAACCGCTCTGTCAACTCTTCTCACACCCAGCCACCCGTTTGACCTTCCTCCCCATCCCCAGCAGAGTCAATCCAAACCAAAACCAACGTTGGCGCCGATAAGAGCCTTCACACCTTGCCGCCTGCCGGCAGGAAGCCCCGCTTCCTGGGCTGCCCATCCACCCCACCTGCGGACGCAGCGGCCCTGACCAGGTCCTCCAACTCAGCGTCCACGTCATCCACCCCCCTCAGCCGCCGCAGCGACTTGCGCGCCGCGTCCCGCTTGCCGCGGGTGACGAGTGAATTCGGGGAGTCAGTCCTGCGCGCTCGTGCGTGTGTGCGTGGTGTGATTGTTGTGTGATTGTTGTGTGTGTGTGTGTGTGAATGTGTGTGTGTGTGTGAGTGTGTCTGTGTGTGAGTGTGTGCATGCGCACAATAGTACACCTGTGTGTGCGCGTGTCCATGAAGCACGCAACGAGCCAAAGCATCCCCGCCCCACCCCTGGAACGAAACGCCGACGCAACAACCCCGATCCCAAAAGACTTTGAGCACGCCATATTGCAGGGGCACTGCGTTTATGCGCGCAAACTCACATCAGCAGGGACCCCAGCAGCAGAATGCCGGAGGGCACGCATATCATGCCCAGGGACAGGCGCCACCCGTCCTCCCTGTCGCGCACCGCCCAGTTGACAAGCTGGGCGCACTGTTGGTGGATAGAGAATTGGACAAATGGGCGCTATGAGGTGACTCATCCAGACAATTATTGGAGACACAAATCGACTGGATCATTGACATTCAACAAACAGGGTGCGGTGGAACGCTGGAGCACAGCACGGCCACATGTTCACGGCCAGCCCCGCCCCGACGTGGCAGCTGCCACCCAACAGGTTCCTCCCCCCC